CGATAGATGGGTCACTCATTCGAGTTCAGTTATTTTTAATCATTTTGTCAAGTTATTAAATAATCTTAACTATTAGTGTATGATATACGAATACTTATTTTTATACCCATAAACATACAAAATACGCTAAAGGATGCGTTTCTATATTTCCAAGAAAAGGAAGGAAAAGGAATAGAAAAAGGGAAAACAAGACAAAGATTAACCATTTACGAAAGTCTTCTTTAAAGAAACATATATACCTTTTTTCTTTATACGTGCTGCTGACAAATTATTAACACAATTTTCCTTAATATTTTTTCTCGAAGATAACAGTATAACGACCCCGTTATACGTATATATATATATATATATATATCATTATTATTAATTGCAGTAATCGAATAATGACGAAAACGAATTATCGATCAGACACACAATTATTCTCATAAGAAATAAGCTAGTACCACCAATATTATAAGATCTTGAGTCTATTATGAGTCATATATTCGTGGGTATCGATACGCCTACACGTTTACCATTCGAATGTTGTGTATTTCCAATTGATCAATTTGTATATATGGATAAACCTTTGTATAGGAAAAAATTGAAAAGATAATAAATTCTTTATATAAATATTTGCAATAATTTTTCAAGTATACTTTCACAAAAAAAAAGTATTAGACAAAATTTTTTTTATTATTATTAGAACAAAAAACAATCTGCTGGAGAAAAGAAAAAAAATCAAACACTCGATTAGCTTTGAGTAAGAAGTGTATTTCAATCCACAAAATCTTTCGACCTTTATTCATTCATACTATATATATATTTGTTCTGTCGTTTGTTGACACTGTACTTAGTCCACTCATCTCAAGTGAACAAGCACGAAGATACAATCATCCTAGTTGCAATTACACGCTTCTTGAACACTTCGAAGATATACTGGTGAGTGGTAAGCGGGGGTGGAAGTAGGGAGGGATGAGATGAGAAGGGGGTAGGTAGGATTTAGCGAAAGAAAATCTCATCAGGTCGTTATACGGATCGTAATGACGTTTAGGAATTAACGCCCCGTAAAAGACCACCTTTGGTAAGACGTCAAAACAAATAATCTGTAAGAAAGATAAAAAAAAAAAAAGAAACAGAAAGAAAGAGAAAGAGAGAGAGAAGACAGTGGTACTCGGTGGAGGAAAATTATGGGGGAACGTAAAACCTTTACATTACAGGGAAAAGGGGGAGGGAGATAGTTTTGTGTTAGGAAGGTGTTGAACGCGTGGCTACTATGGGTGCACACGTGCACCATGGTTTCTTTGGAGATTAAAGCAACCGACGTATAAAATGTATACTTGCGCGCGCATATATATATATATATATATATATATATATATATATATATGTGTGTGTGTGTGTGTGTGTGTGTGTTAGTGTTAGTGTTAGTGTGAGTGAGTGAGTAAGTTCTCGCTTTGGTTTGGCCTAATCTCCGTGAAGAAAATAAAGGAGAACGGGGGTTGGTGGGGTAAGGGGGTGCAGGAGAGGGAGGAAAAGAGGAAACGACGCGTGTCCCATCGTGGTTTTTCGAGTGTTCCTAAAATACTCAGCTCTTGCCCTCGTCCAGAAAATAAAAGAGAGCGAAAAGAGAGAGAAAGAGAGATATGGGTGGATAGGGGGAAAGGGGTGGGGGGAGGTAGTTTCTCTCGTCGAGGCTCACACAAGATGAGAGAAAGACGAAATCAGAATGTCAGTATTCGAGAACTAGTCATCCTAGCAACGTGCTTACTTGGAGAATCCAACACAACTAACCATAAGTGACACAAAGGATACTATTCGAAGAGGGGAAAAAAAAGAAACAAAAAAAAAAGACGTTTACGTCGAAGGGATTCTTTTTATTTTACATTTTACGTACGATTTCTTCTTATTCTTATTCTCTTTAATTCTTTTTTTGGGATTCTTTACTTAAAAAGAGGTGCAAACGTTCAGTTTTCTTTTAAATTCGAAATATTTAAAAAATATTTTAATATCAGTATTGCGTTTGCCCTTCATACGCGAAAAATACGAATATCCGTATGTGTGTATGAGTATATGTATATATATATGAAAAGAAACATATTATTCAGTTGAATAAAACGATATCCTACTCGAATATCTTTTCTTTGAAATTCTTTCAATATATTTTGCTTCGTTCGATATTGTATCGATTTTCTCATCGATCCTACCTACTGTCGATAATATTATTGATCCACAGTCCGTTGAAATTGTACGCGAGTGGAAAGAAGGTCGTACTTTATTATATTTACTTATTTACTTACTTTTCTTATATACTCTTTTTGGCTGGGTTACGTGCTACATTTCAAAGGATGCCTCTCAAAATTGAAAGTGGTACTTACACTGTGAATCCTGTGCCCAAAAAGGGTACCTCGAAGTTTTTTCTATGGAAACATTGGCGAAGAAGGTACGATAGGAATTTCTCTCTCTCTCTTTCTCTCTTTCTCTTTTTTATTTGTTTCTTTTTTTTTAAATCTACTCTTATTAATAACTATGATCTTTCTAATATAATGCATTCATTAACTCAAAGTAAAAGAAGTGATTTTTACTTTATCTTAGAATAATGTTTGTTTCTAATAAAATCGTTGTTTGAAATTATCTTATTAAAATTCATTTTTTACTCGTTTCTTTACTACTACTACTACTACTACTACTACTACTACTACTACTGTTTATTATGAATCGCATTTGTTGCCATCCATTGAGAAAGGAGATAAGAGATTTATTTTATATAGATATAAATATATATATTTCTTGTACCAATTAACAAATTTTTCTTCATTTTTTTTTTCAAATGTCTTCTTACTATTTAACCGATAATAATAACATTTCATCGTCACAGTTTCACGATCAAGCATGATTTTGTTATCCACTCACCCTCTTGTCACTCTGCCCAACCCTTTCGCCCAACCCGTCTGTTGGTTGTTTCGATTTGCACAATTTCGCTTCGCTGCTGCACGTTGCATTTTGTGCATTTAATAATTAAGCCCCCTTGCCCTTCACCGCCGCCGCCATCGCCACCACCTTCTCCTAATTTTTGTCTAATCGTTAATAAACTCTTTGTAAAATAACAATTTAAAAAAAAAAAACATCAACACACTTTTTTGTCATTGTCGTTGTTATTGTTGTTGTTTCTATATGGATTTTGATGATTTTCGAGAGAATATAGATAAAAAGACAACAAGAAAAATAATAATAATATCGGAGCTCAAAAATTGTCATAAATTTCACTTGCATACAATCACGCTACTGCATGAAATTTTTCGAGAAGGTAAAGGAAGAAAAAAAAATAGGAAACACTCTGCACCGAATTCCGATGTGTACACTGCTTTACACGAATGAAAGCGATTTTAATGACCGTGTTCTCACGATATCTAAAGTTGCCAAAGATTTATTTATGTATTTATCATTTCTTGTATCTACAGGTAATTCGTTCATGTAACAATAATCATAAATATGAAATATTGCAATTTTTTACTCGATCATAATTAGAAATCGTACGGAAAGGAGAAAGAAAAAGATTGGCGATCTCAATTAACAGATTACGCTATTTTGATCGCGATCAAGAATATCGGAATTGTTAGGTATTTTATTTTTATTTAAAAAAAAAAAACTTGTTTTTAAATCCTCTCAAAATTTCACTTGAAACGGCGGAAGTAGACGTCGGTGACGAATCTATTTATGTTTAAAAGAGTAATTTTATCGTTTTATTTACCGTTTTTATTTATTCTTTTTATAAATTTCACGTTGACTAATTTAACGCGTTCACGTTCGCGAAAATAAAATAAAATGATGACGATGAAGAAAAATAAAAAGAAGAAAAAGATCGAAATGTTCGATCGTGTTTGTCGCGACAAATATGAAACTTTCTTTTCTAATAAATTAATCAGTTGTTATAAATAAATAGAAAAAGAATTAAAAAAAAACAATAAAAATAAATAATATAATTAAAAGAGTGAAAAAATATATAAAGTTTTGCATATTACATTCGTCAAATTAAAAATATAACAATACTACTACATTCTTCGGCGCGATTTTAGTTTTTTTTTCTTTTTTTCTTTTTTTCTTTTTTTCTTTTTTTCTTTTTTTCTTTTTTTCTTTTTTTCTTTTTTTCACCGTGCTTATTCGAGCGAGAAGAATTCGAATTTCTATCGAAGCTATCTAACATCCATGTTAAACTTTTTAAGATGGTATAAGCATGATCGAAAAAAAGAAAAAAAGTAGTCGATTGGAACTAATGTGATCGTAAACGATTAAGAGAAGGAAACCGTGTCGGTCGTAGTCGAACGAATGCAACACTATAGTACTATTTTTCGAATTTTTTTACGTCATATATTTAAATTTAAAAAAGATCGAGCAAAAAAAGGATTCACAATTCGACAAAATATTTTGCATAAATTAGACAAATATGAAATAAGCATAGTAGGTCGATTTGATAATTTGTTAATCCTTATTAAAAAAAAAAAGAAAAGAAAAAAAAAGTTAATAAAAATTATAATAAGTTAAAGTAAATTAAAAATACATATCCAGTAGAAGGATCGAAAAAAAAATGGAAATATTAATTTGTATAGTTTCTGCATAACTTGGCATAATTATGAATTAGCCCGTATGAATAAATAATATATATATATATATATATATATGTAAATCGCATAAATTCTTATGAGAATGTTCCATATTTTCCCATTTATCTAAATAAATCTTAAATGACGAACAATACGGTTTGAATAAAACAATCAACGAAAATCAAGTTCCCCGTTACGTTTGATAATTTACTAAAATAATAATAATAATAACTAAATCACTAGTACGTCGTCGTTGTTATGTTCGACAAAAATTTAAATAACGATGATTGTTATTATATATCGTGAGAATACGAAAATAGATTAGAAAACGAAAAAGATAAATCCCAAATGTTCTTCCCCCCAAAATCAAATCAACCAAATAAAACAAAACAAAAAAAAAGAAATAAAAACTCGGTGCAGCGTGCACGAGGATCGTTGCGGGGAAGAAGAGGAGGAGGAGGAGGAGGAGAAGAAGAAGAAGAAGAAGAAGAAGAAGAAGAAGAAACCACCAGCATCATCATTGTCAACATCGTCGAGGGATCGTCATCGAACAGCAGGGGTCGATCGGGAATCGAGTCGACGTGGGGTGGTGGTGGTGGGTGATGGTGGTGGTGGTGGTGGAGGCATCGAAGGAGAAGAAGGAGGAGGTGGAATACAAACATCAGGAACACCAGGAATAAGAACACCAACCGGGGTAGTACCAGGCCTGGAAGAGGAATTTTTTGGAAATTCGAGCGTCGCGACGTCTCAGGTACAACTCGGGACTGGGTTGAGTTCAGTTCCTCGACGTACAACAAGACCCTTTTCTTTGGCCGTACAACCTATCAACTATCATCGTCTTGATCCGGACGAACTCGATCATCATCAACAACAACAACATACTCCTGATCATCATCATCAACATCATAATCTTCGACCCAACATGACCAGTCAGGACAGCATCGGAAGTTGCAGCTTGGACGTCGATCGTTCCGTCTCCGACCGATCAGGTTGGCTATCTCTGCGGTTATCTCTTTCCCCTAACCCCACCCCCAACCCTGACCTCTTATCCCCCCTCTCTCTCTATTTCTCTCTTTATTTCTTTCTTTATCTTATTTTCCCCAGTCCCTCGGTCCCCTTTTTTCGAAACATTGAAACCTTCTAATCTTCTTGCGGTCTTCTTCTTCTTCTTTTTCTTCTTCAAGCAGATAGAGTTTCGAACAAGTTTGTGGCATTTGTTTGTTTCTTTATTTTCGTACACTTTACATCTCTACTTCCTCTCAAGATAGACGTTCTCTTTCGAAAGAGAAAGAGAGAAAGAGAAAGAGATAGGACTCACCCAGCAACTTGAATGAAAAAAAAAATTGTCCAATGAAAGAAGGAGAGGGAGAAAGATTTCCTTTCCTTTCCTTTCCTTCCTTCCTTTAGCGCCTCGTTCACCTTACCTCTGAAACAAATCTTCTCTTCTAGTCATGATTTTCGTTAGACCGCGAATGCCAATCGAATTTAGACTTTAAGCCGTAAGTAAAACGGCACCGAGAAGTGTTGCCCGTAAGACAGGCAGGAAGTCAGGTTCCCCGTAGTGAGATAGTGGTGCGTGCCAAAAGACGACCGAAACGCGTGCAAAGCCAACAGCAACAGCAGACTAGGCAGCACCACCAGAAGACCCTTTTACCGTTCTAGGGTTATTCCTGCCTCTCGAGTCTTTGTCGAGTGTGAGATTCGATCATCTTTAAAACGCGTTTCTTCTTCTTTTTCTTGGCTTACCCTTGCCGTTATTTTTTTAGGATATGTATCAAATTTTGTGTATTGTTGTTATTGTTCTTACTGTTGTGTATTAATTTTCTTTTTTTTTCTTGTGAGGTAGGAATTAAGGAAATTCGAAATCGTGCGTGGTTTTTTTTTGTACTTTACTTTACGTCTTAAAAATTTTTGTTCTTTCTTTTTTTTACTTCTTTTTTTTTTTTCTTAAATAAATTTAAAATGGTATTATACGAATATTACAGAAAATACCGTAGATTCCGTATCCGAGAGAACGCTGCACAGCCTGAACTTTTCGTGTAACGGTGAACAACAAAAGGCGGAAAATTTGGTGAACGGTAGCAGCGAGACGCTGCAAAAGTCACATCTCACTCCTACCGATGATAAGGTGATCGTCAGCAATGGTCATCGTAGCAGTCCCGAGCAACAAGAACAGCTGACAGCGAAAAAACCGAGTTACTTGGGATTGGCTTGCAGTATAAGCGGTTACTCAGGCATCACCAGGTACGATAGTAAATTGAGAGAAGGTTTCCGATCGAGAGATAGCAGTCCTGGAACAAGACTGATTACTAGGGATACTAGTCCTGCAGATTTCAAGTAAGTACTTTTTACAATATAACATCTAAAACTTGTAACTTCAAAATACGAATAATCGATCAATCGCTAGACTGCGAATCCAGTGTGAACGAACAAAGTATGCAAATTATGCGTGTATAATAATATGTTCGATATTAACCCTTTGCACTCCAAGTTTATTTTTCATTCATATTACCAACAATTGAATTTACTTTAGCTTTCATCTTTTTTTTCTTTTTTATTTATTTTTTTCATTGTCTTCATAGCGAAGCTCTTGAGTGCAAAGAGTTAAATTTAGTTGTTACAATAATTTTTAATACTTACGATTCACTTCTATGTTAATTAGTAATAAATTATAATAAATGTGTTAACCAATCTGATTGTAGTACATATAGATTTAATGTTAAAATATTGTTAACATTTCTGTGCATTAATAAAACTCGCAACTAACGTTGTTTTAATATCGTAATTCGAATACAATTAGTTTATTTATCTTGTTTAGATCAAACGAGAATTTAAGTGTTCCAATACATCATTATCCGCCTAAGAGTCAATCAATTTCGCCGCTCGCAATGGATCGACAAAATGGTTTTTCTAACGGCATGAAGGAAGAGTGTAAGATAGAAACTTATAGAGAAACAAGAAGCTCGATGAGTATATGTCAGGGTTTCTCTGAGGTCGATAAAGGGGTATCCTTACATACAACGTTTCCGGACGTCAGTCCCATTAGGGTAAATTCTTCTTCGAGAAAAAGTCCTGGGATCGTTCAAATAATGTCTTGTGGTCAACAAATCAAATCCTTTTCACCGAATTTTGCTGAATCTTCACCTAAACCTTCTATGATAAATAGTAAGAATTATAATATTATAACTCTTTGTGTATTTAATGCTCAAAATAGAAATTAATTTTGAAAGTCTGTTTTTGTTTGTTTGTTTTCTTTTTTTCAGTTTCTAATACATCGTTTAGCGAAACAAGTATATTAAACGGTTCAAATATCGATATAGAAAATCAAACTACGAATACCTCATCTAGCAGCGAAAAATCTTTCATCCAACAACGGGTTGAACGGCTGTATGGTCCGGGTGCTCTGGCACAGGGTTTCTTTTTTAAACGCAGCGTTACTAAACTAAACGTTACCGACAATAGTTTCAACAAATATAGTAATAATAGCGACACTTCGACAGACAACGTTAATACGGAAGAATCATTGAAAAATTTACCAGTTCTTAGACATCTTCGACCTGAATTCCGTGCTCAACTTCCTGTTGTCAGTTCCAGAAAACCAACAGATGGTTCAGAACAAATAATAAAACCATTGCGAAGGTAATTAACATATTCTGAGGGGTTTGTTTTGTTTTTTTCTTTCTTTTTTTACGTCAATATCACGTTTGATGAATTAAAACGTTATAGTAATGATTTTCGATGTTCCGTTACAAATCAGGATATCGTCAGCTTCGCATAAAACCGAGCAACAATCTAAAACATGTAAAACCGCACACGTACCAGAAAGTGTCACGGAATCGGGAACTCAACACAACAACAGCATAGCGAGTATACCGGATCAACAACCCGCAGCACCTAAGGTAGTGTTACCTGTTCTAGAACCTAGTGCTAGTTCCGGTAACGTTGCTAAACAAATGCAGGAGATAGAGAAAACGACTGAAGAAAAAGATGGACATTATTTTTTGAAAGTAAGTAACAGATAACGTCATTTGACAAGTCAATGTTTCTTTTATTCTGTTTACTTAACTTATCTATATCTATATATTCTCCTTAGCTGTTGAAACAAGAAACGGACAGACTTTTGTCATTAGCTGCGTCAGCGGAAGCAGAGTTGGCCAGTGGCGATCCCGTTGCATTACCCGAGGAAGCAGCTGGTAAATTGAGATCTGCTGCTGGCAAAGCGAGATTACTCGCTTCACAAAAAATGCAACAGTTCGAAGGCTTATGTCAAAAAAATATTGTAAGCTATCATTGCAACAAAATTGATATATTGGCTTAAATTAACACTTTAATGGTCGCCAAGGGGCTGGCAATATTTTTGAAAAATTAATTAAAAAAAAAAACAACAACAACAGATTCAATATTTTTTCTTTTGCGTGATGATGATAATAATAATTTGATAGCATCGCACGCATGTTGCGTTAGCGGTCTTTGAAGTGTTAATGTAGGTTTTAATTTCTTTATTTTTTAAATCTAACTTTAATTTCCTAGACCTTCTCATATTAAATTAAGTGTTTATTAATATCTCACTGAAATAAAAGAGCTCATGCAACATTCGAGTCATTTTGTAGAAAATGATTACCCAATTTTTGCCTTAATTCAAGTCCTTCACGGATGACTTTTGCTGTGAACGCAAATGGTTCAGATTCCTCGATCCTCGGGCAGGGAGAAAATTTAAAAACCGCGCAAAAATAAAATCGTGTAAATAAAGTACCATGTAAATCGGGAAATAGGTGCATATATCTAAAATTTCATTTTTTAAATCATTTTGTATTCTGTGTGAAATTTAAAAATAGCTGGAAAGAAAAATTTCTTTTAATTTATCTTCAAAAAAAAAGAAATTCTATTATTTGAGTTTTGTTTTATTTTGTTATAAACCAAAAAATTATTATTATTATTTTATTATTCTGGTTTTATATTTAGAATCAAGTGCCAGGCGAAGAATTTCCAACAACGAACGAAGACTTGGCCGGATTTTGGGATATGGTGATGCTACAAGTAGTTCAAGTAAACGAACTCTTCGAGCAAATTGAAAAATCGAAAAAATCGCAGTGGCAAGAGGTATGTCAAGTTAATGTCCAATCTAACTTTCCATCTTCCTTAAAATCCCGACGTAAGAAATCAATCCAAGTACCGAAGACTCCCATAGAAAAGAAATCTCTGGATGATAGTGTTCCTAAAAATATCAATGAATGCATATCGAACGAATTGAAACCTTCAAGGGCGTGTCACTCTTTATTATTACATGATGATACGGACAAAATTAATACAAATTCTAACGATACGACGAATATTGATTTAAAATTATATGCATCTACATGGAACGATAAAATATTCGACGTAAAAAATAATAATAATAATCTATCTAATGAAGATTTAACGAAACCAAATAAAAATATTATAATCGTTGAAAGATGTATTCCCGAATACACAAATCGTGAACGTTTCTTTAATCCCGATTGTAAATCATTTTACGAAAAGAATTACGTTTACTCTAATATATTTTCAAACGAAGCTAATTTTAAAACGAACGACGAGAAAATAAATACGAAATATAACATTGAAAGAAATTTTAAAGAAGAATTCACTACTACGGAAGGAAATAATATTCTTACGGAAGATACATCGGCTCAAACTTCATTTTTATCCATTGCAGAATTTACAACGAATCGTATTAATACGCAAAAAAATAATTTATTTAATTTCTTGCTTACAAAACCATCATATAGAATAATCAAACCTAAAATTAAAACTCAAATTCCTATATGCGAATGTTTAAAAACTGAAATAGAACGAATTAATCGTTTAGACAACGAAAATACATTTTTTCATCTTAAAGTGAAACATTTGAAAAATGATATCAACAATGATAACATAATAAAAGAAAGTCAATCGCAAAATATACCAAAAATGAATCTCTCTTCTCGGCCAAGTATATCGTCTAGTATTAGAAAACAAAATTCTAAAAGGTCTCAATATATTGTAACATTTTCTGACGAGATAAATATCTTTAAAACGAAAAACCCTTTATTTGATGACCATGAAAATGATTCCGTAATTTGTGAAGATACACTTGAAAATGTTTATAATTATGATACATCGGATCAAATTATAACAAATGAAAATAAAACAAATTTGCAAATTAAACAAGAAACTATAAATAATTCTAATATGGAAGAAGAAACAATGAAATACGCAAATAATCAAATTTTAAATTATTCTGATCGTTCTAAATTGAAACCAACAAAATCATTTAAAAGAAATTCTAAAAATACAACTTTTATACCCGAATTAATAGAAAAATCTAAAATAAATTTATACAAAAAAGTAAATAATACGCGAATCGTTAAAAGACCTATAGAGAAACCTAAAGGGATTCGTAAAAATTTACAAAATGGTAGTAATTTCAAAAAAGTAATGTCGCATATGTTACAAAATATTCATACTACTACTACTACTACTACTACTACTACTACTACTAATAATAATAATAATAATAATAATAATAATAATAATAATGAAATTATTAATAATAAAAAAATGATTAAACCTGGCACGTCAAATCAAAAAGATACAAAATATCGAACAATCGAAACAATAAATTCAAATAATAAAAATTCGAGCGAATATACGAAACGTGTTGTTACGGATTCATCGAACAATAATATTAAAGGTGTATCGAATAAAATTATTAATCGATCGTTAAATAAAGCAAACGAATTTAATCCTGAAAAAATAGAAGCATCATCGTCGAAACAATTAAAATCTACTATCATTAATAAAAATAATAAATCTAAATCAAAAATCGATAAAAATCATTTAACCAAACAAAATACTAATGAAAATATATATAAAAAAATGCAATTAAATAAGGACATTATCGATAAAGAAAAGAAATATTCGAAATCCGGAGAAAAATCAGATAACACTATCGTATGGTCTCCGAGTGATTCGCAACCATTCATTCCGTTGTCGCAAGAGACCTTGAAACAATTAGGAAGATTATATAGAATCGGTAAGCATCATTCCACATTTACAACATCTTTTAAAGATTCTTCCAATAATAACAATAATATTAATAATAATAATAAGTTAGATAAAATAAAATTATATGATCAGAAAAGAAAAAAGGAATCTTTTAAAGTCAACAAATTATTATCTAACAAAACGATAATAAATAATTATCAGGATAATTCAAGTGGCTGTATCATTACGGATATGGACAATTTTCATCAGAGCAATATTAACATCATCTCTACGGATTGCGAATATATTTTTACGAATAATCAAAATTTATGTTATGCTAACGGCGACAAAAATAACACATTGTATTTATTCGATATAAACAAATTATCCGACAAACGTAAAGATTTTCAACGATTTGTATCGTCCATCTTAACATCGTTCAATACTAAATTATCTAATAAAAATATCTCATCCAAATTATTGAAAAACGAAGTGCATGAATGTACTATAGACGATGCAATACCTGTACCTGTTAACATAGATAATCAAAACAACAACAAAATATTGCATTCGCGAGAATGGAATTGCAATAAACTCATTTATTCGCGTTCTATAGCAACATTTTCGTTATACAACAATACATCAAACGATGGAATAATGAGGAAAAGTTTTGATTCAATAGAAACTGATATTACGGGTTTTGCTTTGAAACCGTGCGATCCAATGGATTCGAATATATCAATTAAAATATTACGAGATTTAAGCGAAGCATTTCATCAAAAAGTTCAATCCTATTTAGAATCAGAAAAATATTTTCCAATTGGTAGAAAGGCCATTGAAATATACGACGTGAGTAATGATAATAATAATAATAATAATAATAATAATAATAATAATAATAATAATAATAATAATAATAATAATAATAACAACCTAATAAATTGCATAGACATTAGGAAGAAAAATAATAATATTATTGATAATAATTGTAATAAAATTTTAATCAAGGTAAATAATGCATATTCGTTCTTAAAGTCTAACAAGACGCTTTGTCAATTGTCTTTGTATTTGTACATATACGGTATAGTTGGTCTATTATTAATATTTTTTCAAATCAATCCTCACAAGTATTGTTTTTTAGAGAAGGAAAGACTATTTTATTATTTGTAAAGGCTAATTTTATATAATAATTCCCAACTTACACGTTCGAATATTATTATGTATAATCACGATCTCTAATCGCACACATTATAAATAAATTCTTTCGAAAGGATCTTCTATTTAATCAGCATTTAATCGCGACCATAAGTTTATATAAGATCTTATGCAAAGGAAAATCAAGAGTGTTACGTATAAAATCAAGGTCAACAAGTATATTAATTGTCCTACTTTTTCTTTTTTCCCTATATCAATTCCATAAAAAAGAAAAATATAAATCCAAAACCGTCAAAAACAACCAAAACAATCCAGTACGTCCTATGATTCAATTCATATATATATATAATTATTATTAACCCTTATCGGCCGTCAGGTTTTTATATTGATGATTCTCACTAATTATAAATAATAAGTGGTTTCGGTAAATGTGCAACAAAATTGTTCAGTATTATAAGAATAACTTATTATTTATTATAAATTATTTAATTATTAATAACATATTTTTATATATGTTACACTTCCTACGAGATTTTTGACCGATAAGAGTTAATTATTTTTGTTAATTACGATAAAAAGAAAAAAGAAGTATTCTCTGATAATTTCATTTCAGATTGTGCCGGAGAAAAAAAGTAATGCATCACTTTCGCAGAATGGTAATACTGCCAAACGTCGTATAACACCTGTTCATAAAACAAAGCCTACTGCGAACAGCGAAGCCAATAAAAAGGCACGAGAAGCAAGGGAGCAAGCGAGACGACAATTAATTGAAGAAAAACGTCGAGCAATGCGTTCTAATATGCAAAATCAAGATAATACGGTGAAAATATTTGCTCCAGAAACGTAACAGCTAACGTAATTCTCTTCATTGCAAATGGATTCTTTTTCTTTTCATTATCTTTTTCTAATCTTTTTTTTTTTCAATTCTTTTTTTTCTTTCTTTTTTTCTTTTTCCGTTTTATTTTTATGTACGAATATTATTCTCGAATTATAACTCCCCTCATTGGCACTAGGAATGACAACTTTAAACGTAGGCTACATTCCTGTACGATATTAACGATTCACGCTGTAGTTTATTACTATTTTTATGCACAATGCATAGGTGAAGAAAGATTTTGCAATATAGCAAAGAATTTAAAAACAACGTTTACGATTTCACTTTCCTCGAGAAATAATAATAATAATATAATATTAAAAAAAAAAAAGAATAATAATAATAATAATGATGATAATGATAATAATAATAATAATAATAATAATAATAATAATAATAATAATAATAATAATAATAATAATAATAATAATAATAATAATAATTGCANATAATAATAATAATAATAATAATAATAATAATAATAATAATAATAATAATAATAATAATAATAATAATAATAATAATAATAATAAAGGATCGTGTTATTTAATAAGCAGATAGAAAAAAAAGAAGAAAGGAAGAATCGTAAATTATCGTATAATCAGTATTTCATATTATTTATATATTAGGATTTATTTAAAAAGAAGAAGAAAAAGAAAAAAAAGTAAAATGGAAAAATATTTTTTCTCGAAAATTTAGAAAGACATAGATATAAATAAGACATACATTATTGCAATCAAAATCTACATTTTTAACATCGATATTAGAATTTAAATAGACGGACGAGCTTTTTCTACCTATACTTGCAATTCGTTATAATTATTGTTTATATTTTTGTTTATACAATCGTAGTCTAAAAACTGTCAATTTATCATCCTATTCAATTCCTCTTCCTCTACCAACCCCACCCTCCACTTCCATCATCATCTCAGTTTAATCTTTTTCTCATTACTTCTTTAATTTATAGTTTTTAATTGTATTTATATATTATTTTTATTGTATATCAGCATAAGTGTTTCACGATTCGACGTTTTTCTTTGTTTATTTTTTTTTTATTTAATGTTCGATATCTATTTGTATTGTTTTTTTATTTCAGAAAATTACAAAATACATTGATACGTATGCATAAGAAAAAAATGTCTTTAACGAAATGTTATAAACATCACGTGATGTGTCAACGTAAAAATTTTAATGAATTTGTTATTAACACTGTTGCTGAGTTAATTAACCGATCAATTTTTTGTAAATGTTGATTGACGCTAATGCAAAGAATTAGATATTATGTTTGTAAGCGGAATCTTTTAACAAGTTAACATATAAAAAAAAAAGAACATAAGTGATTTTCTACAATTATTATACTATACAGATTATGATATCTTTGAAACAGACGAATTTAACAATAATCATATATTATATTACATTACCTAAAATTTACTAGTTTAGTTTTTTTTTTCTCTATAACTTTGTAATATAAATTATCATTGCCGAAACGATTTTACTGATTTTTAATGCCATTGCTTTTTTCTTATCTCTAATAATTATTATTAATTTATATCGGAGTATACATACATATATATATATATATATATATATATATATATATATATATATATATATATANTATATATATATATATATGGAAACAGTAAAAACCAATAGATTTATATGAATATATTACATATATTAAATATATAATATATGCGTCTATTATATATATACTAAAGAAAGTTCTAAAATCGTTTACTAGCTAAATCTATAAGAAAAAAAAAAGCAAATAAAAAGAAAAACAAATACACACACACATTCAAATTAGTCGCGAAAACATAGTTACTTATATAATAATACATCCGCGGGTATGTTATACATTATAATAATAATAATTTCAATCAACAATGCGGGCAATAAAACGACTTATCATTTATAAAACATTCATATAAAAATTCGTATTCAATATAAACGTTTTTGTTTTTTCTGCGTTAAAAAACAGTACTATATGTATATAATAATCTTCAACAGTTGTTTCAATTGTTATAATTATTTATTACGTTTGCCAGAAATAGTTTCATTCTTTCTTCTCACAGCTGTCAATGAAATAGTTAATTTTCTAATGTTACAAGCTGTAAAGAAGAATAAAACAAGATTCCTATTACTTCTATATATACATACACATACTATTATTAATATAATATAATACTAAATATTTTTATTATTATTATTATTATTATTATTATATAATTTTTGCTTTTCCATCGATTTTACGTATATTCACATTATTTATCTCTTAAAAAATCACGTCATTAGATTTTTTTTACAAATTATTCTTCTTTTTTTCTTCTTCATTTCAGGCAAAGTATTTTCTTTCAAACATGTGTATAAAAATTTTTATGTCAACGAATTTTTTCCTTCACATAGGTACGAATGCAAACATAAAAAGAAAAAAAAATGAACAAAAAATATGGCCGATATTTTTTAATTTTTCTTGATAATAAAAATTTAATAATTATCGCGAAGAGACAAAAAAGGATATATTTGTGAAAATATATACGTGCGAATGGATCGTTGAAACAATAAGTATTTGTTAATTATTTGTATATTGAGATAGAGTGAGAGTAAGAATGAAAATGAGAAAGAGAGAGAGGAGAAAAACATTAGCTATAACAATACCGTTTGCATTATTACAATTGATTACAAAGTATATAGATCAATAAAAATTGCTCGACTTTTTTTTTCAAAATCGACACCAAAATTTCGATTATTAACAACAAATTTGAAAAATTTTTACTTTTAAATTATCAATCGTACAAACGATAAAAAGAATAGAAGAAGAGTCAGTCGTTAGTTTTAAACCTAAGTAAATAAAAAAATACTCATCAAGATATGAATTATTTATTTAAAAAAAAAAAACGACAAAAAAAAGTAAATCAGAAATTTTTATCATTTTCTTTATTTGATTACATATATTGTTTCGATAAATTTATCAAATTACGTTTTACTATTTTGATATTTTTTAAATTTGTACGGAAGGAAAGATATAACAAAAAGAGAAACAAGAAAAAAAACACAAAGAGAAGAAAGGGAAGTAAATTTTTTGATTCGATGTAATTTATTATTCATTGTTAATTCCCTTTGGTGCCTTCGTTATTTATACGTGTACATATATATTATATATATATATATATATATATATCCATTTTCGATCGATCACGATTAAATCGTAAGTAATATTAATTAACGAAGAATATTAACAAACAAAATTCGATAAAAATCAAATTTCGTGTTTTCTTGTTTTGTCGATTTTATATTTATTGCTGTATTCTTTATTTTTAATTTTTGTATTCTATCAAGCTTCACCAAACCCAAATCGTGTTGCTCTGTTTTTTCGTATTTTTATTGTAGAATGTATGAAATTTTTCTTTTTTAGCCGTGGAATTATTACTGTTTTCAACTTATTAAGCAAGAACGAAAGAATATATCTTTTTTTCTATCATACAAAATTATCACATCTCCGATTTAAACTGTAAATATACATGAGCGTTTGTTAAGTTGTATGGAAGAAGAACATTTGTATGAATTTATGTTGCGTGAATGAAATTATTACGAATGTGCGAATATTATTGCGTGTAACGTTAATACAAAAAAAACGATTTTACCGAATAATTTAGTTTTTAAAAAAATGATTTTGTATATTTGGCCGTCACGGGTCGACTCGTCACACATACACACTCGTATTAAAATAACGTTTATTCGACGTATTATATTACACTCATACGAATATAGATATTTAACGTGTAATAATTTATATCCAGTATATAATCATTTTGTTTTTATTTTTTTTTTTTTTTAATCGATTAAGAGTCGTCAGATGTTTTGATTAGATTTTTTTTTGCTCGTATAAGCCGGAAAAAATAATCCAATGTTCCCGTATATTGTATTTATACTATTTTTTTATTATTCGATTTGACTTTCGTCTTTTTAATATTATTATTGGATCATTTTTTATTCGTCGTCAAAATTTTTAATAAGATTTATATTAAGGATTACGAAAGTACGTAAAAAAAACACAACAATAAATCATAAGAATAATATCAAAATATTTTCCAATGTACTTTATATTTGTTATTGAAACGAGCCAAAATGTGACTATCATTTAAAAAAATAAAATATCGAGTCGAGTTCGATCGTATTTGGCTCATTGTTATTTTTCGTACGAATAAATAAATAAATACATATGTAATAATTGCTTGAAGGATTGATCAAATTTTTGCACTTTTCTTCTATCATTTCGTGCCTTAAAATCTATTTCGAAATAAATTGCTTGCGTATTATGGCTGTAAGATAATTGAAATATTACGACAGCTTCGTGATTTTTCGTTGCGATTAAGTCAGATGGCAGATATGCAGTAAAAGGAACATTACAGAAATTAAGATAATCGTTTTCTTATATATTAACCAATTAACAAAAAAATTGATTCACATTTATTAAACAAGAAAAATAAATGAAAAAAATATAATAATAATCGTGCAGAAGTTACCACACGAGATAACGTTTTCTCGACTCCTTATGTCTCTTTGTAAAATTGTAACAACACTCGAAAATAAATAGACTATTTAAAACTTACGCCATATTTTTAATTATTATTATTATTACGACATTCTAATTATTCGTTACGATATGAATAATAATAAAAAAATATATAAAATAAGTATTGCTCTTTAACCTACTGATAGCGGATTTAGGAATTGATGAAAGGAAGATGGGGTGAGGTAAGGGTGAGAGGGAAGAGGATAGGTTCGTTAGCGTACGCAGATGATGTGGTTTTGTTGGCGGAAAGAGAAGAAGAAATGGAGAGTATGCTGAGGAGGATGGAGGAGTATTGCGACAGGAAGAAATTGGAGGTCAATGTGGAGAAAACGAAGATATTAAGATTTAGGAGAGGAGGGGGAAGAAATAGAGAAATAGACTGGAATTGGAAGGGGAAGAGAATATAGGAGGTGAAGGAATTCAGGTATCTGGGCTATGTGTCCAAAAAGAATAGAGGACAGGAAGCGCACTTGAAGGATAGGGTGAAGAAAGCAGGGGTCGCAATGAGGCAGGTTTGGGGATTGGGAAGGAGGATGTTCGGCAAGGATTGGGAGAGGAGGTTGTGGCTCTTTGATACATTGGTGTGGACGGTCTTAAGCTATGGAGCGGAAATATCAGGGTGGGAGGAGAGGAAGGAGATCGAGGGGGTGCAAGAAAGGTTCTTGAGGTGGACATTGGGAATAGACTGGAGGACGCCAGGATACATGGTAAGAGAAAAAGGGAAAAGAGACAAATT